CGGAGGGCTGCGAACGGGCAGGGCACCCGGCCCGCCTCCCGCCAACACAAAGAAGAGTTCTTCCACCTCGGGGACGGACACCCACGTGAGGCCGTCTCCTCAGCGACGGGCACCTTTGCCCTGCTTCCGCCTCGCCTCAGCCCGCACCCACCCATCCCACAAAATCAGTCCCAAGTGCGGCTCCTCCGGACGCCCCCACTGACTTGCTTGCCCCACCCCGATTCTGACTCGGATGCCCCCTCCTCGTGCAGATCTATCACAGCGCCGTGCTCTCTGCTTCTGCCTCCCCACAAGCATGAGACACTTCGGGCTCTGGCCAGGAGCAGGCTCTCAGCAAGGCATCCGCCTTCCCTACCTCACTTCCCACGCTCCTTCTCCTCTGCAGCTCTCAATTCAGACAGACCAGGGCTACACCACTCATGCGGGCAGGTTACCCAACCTTCCTAACGTCAGCTCCTTCATCTGCAACCTGGCGATGAAGACACCACCTGGGTCAGGGTCAGTGTGAGGGGTCGAAGCGGCAATGCCTGTAGAGCACACGGCAGGTGCTCGTAAGCGTCAGCTCTCCCCGCACAGGCCGTGCTTCCCAGGATCTCCTCCTCTCCCGACACCCGGCCCGCCTCTCCCACTGAGTGCCTTCTCCGTCCCCTGCCTGCGCCCGCCACCGCGCTCCACCCTTGGCATCTCTCTGACAGCATTCTCCAGTCATTTTGGGTCTTTTCGCATGTGTGCGTGCTCCCAGGGAGTAGGAATTAAGTCTCACATCGCACATGCATTTAGAACGCCCAGGGCTTCCCTGGTGGCGCAGTGGTTGAGAGTCCGCCTGCTGGTGCAGGGGACACGGGTTCGTGCCCCGGTCCGGGAAGGTCCCACATGCCGCGGAGCGGCTGGGCCCGTGAGCCACAGCCGCTGAGCCTGTGCGTCCGGAGCCTGTGCTCCGCAATGGGAGAGGCCACAACAGTGAAAGGCCCGCGTACCGCCAAAAAATAAATAAATAAATAGAATGCCCAAAGCACAGCAGCCTCGGTGGTGGGCAGCGGGCGGGCGGGGAACTCAGCCACCCTGTAAAGCAGAGGGTAGCAACAGGCCAGGCTGGGGCAGAAAGTGGCAGGGGATGCTGGCCCTCTGCTAAGGCATGTGCCTGAAAGATGCTGCGGGGCAGCAAAGTGGCCCATTACATCCCATGGCCAAGGATGCAAGAGGGCAGTTCCCAGAGGGCGGGCGTCCCTGGTGCTGCGCTGCTGCTGGGCCGAGATCTAGGCGCCTGGGCTGCAGGTAGAGCTGGGCACGTGTCTGAAAGGCAACCCTCTCCGCCTTGGCCTGCCTAGGTTACACCTGGGGTAACCCTTCAGGGTTTGAATGCCAGCCCCTCAGCTTACTTCTGTGTTTCCAACCAAGTGACTTGGCCTACTTCCACCTCAGCTTCCTTCTCTGTAGGATGGACTTATCAGAATCTACCTCCTGTATTTGCTGTAGGGCTAAATGGGGGGTAATGCTTTAAAACATCTGGCACAGAGCTTGGCATCAAGTGCCAGATGAACTGAGCATGCGCACACATGCAAACACAGCCAGCCCGGCTGCTTCCCACTCCATTCCCAGGAAGGATGGTTGAGAGCCCGTCTCTCTGCAAAGGCCCTTACCCCACGGCCATGGGTGGAGTGGTAACAAGATACAGCAGACCCTCTCACTCCAACCTGTGGAGGCTCTGAACGAACCTCGCCTCATTGGGTTCAGGCAGTCTGTCCTCAGAAGGTCACGGCACCGTCCACCCTGCAAACATGCGTCCCATCTCTGCACCTTTGCTCATCTTCTCTGGACAGGAAACAAGAGCTCTGACTTGGGGCTCACACAGACCTGGATTCCAATCTTGCCTTGGCCACTGAGGCCACCTGCCAGCGGGGTAACCTCGGGCAAGCAATGAGCCTCAGGTTCCTTGTTGGTGAAATGGAGGCAATAATCTCTCCTCTTAAATGAAGATTAAATAAAACAATGCAAGTAAATCACTTATGACTGTGCCTGGCACAGATTAAGTATTCAGTGTTACACAAATCTCAGGGAAAGGACTATTTTTAAACAAATGGTAACTCTGCCCTGTACTTCTGTCTCCCTGGCTGGAAGCAGGCAGAGGCCCAAGCAGAATACAGAGCAGGTGCTTAGGGGAGAATATCCACTGGCCTGGCCTCGGTAGTGAGGAAAAGCCTGTGGATATTCTGCTGAA